TTCTGAATGTACATGAGCCATGACTGAATGATGGAGGAAGGGGAGGAGGGAAATTGCATGGGGGATTGGAGAGAAAGTTCCCAAGAAGCCACCCTATGTTTTATTGTTCTCTCTCAGCCTGGCGTTGGCTCTTGCTAAAGAGTGTTACCCATTTTCCAGCATTACAGGGTAACGCTCTTTCACTTTCAGGCCCAGTTTCATTCACTTCACCCTCCTGAGCCTTTGCATCCTGCAGCACAGCAACCTGGCATTTGAAGCAGTGGGGGCTTTTAATAATCTGCAACGTCAGAATTAGTGTCTGCAGAACAACACATCAGTAAAGGTAGGCACTAAACCAGAGCGCGTATTACCGCTGAAAGGAAAAGGGATCTCTCTTTTCTTTCAGGAAGCCACTGAACATGCACACGCTGCTGCAGCCTGCAGAAAAACACAGCACCATCTGCACAGAAAATTAAAGCCTCCCATTCCAATTCTAGTTAACGCTTCACACTTCTGCCAGGAGAAGGCCCAAAGTAACAGATTCCAACAGGCAAAGCTTCCATCTTGAGCAGAGAGGCTACTGCATATGCACCAGTACATACTGTATTGGGAATCATAGTCTCTGGCAGCTGCACCTCCATATTAGTGGTGAGGGCTGCTGCAATTTTCTCAGTGTAATAATAAATAAATATCACCACCATATAGCTCTTATATAGCCCTCTGTAAAGCACTTTGAGCTCTACTAATGCAAGGGCAGTACCTATTGAAATGAGAGGTCAGACTGACTCTCTGAAGCCCAAGAAAGATTTGGAAGAGAGCCAATGGGAAACTTTAGAAGATTTGTTCATTAAAGAGAAAGGATGGTTCACTGGTTACGATAGCCTGGGACTTGTGAGACCTGAATTCCAGTCCCTGTTTTGCCACAGACTTCCGGTGTGATCTTGGACAAATCACTTAGCCTCCATGCCTCAGTTCCCCATCTGTACAATGAGGAAAGTATCATAGAAATATAGGACTGAAAGGACCTCGACAGGTCATCTACCCAGTCCCCAGGTCTGAGGCAGGACTAAGTATTATCTAGACCCTCCCTGACAGGTGTTTATCTAACCTGTTCTTAAAAACCAACAATGATGGAGATTCCACAACCTCCTCAAGTAATTTGTTCCAGTGTTTAACCACCCTGACAATTAGGAAGTTTTTCCTAATGAATAACCTAAATCTCACTTGCTTCAGTTTAAACCCATTATTTCTTATCCTGTCATCCAGGGATAATAGCACTGCCCTACATCACATCTTGAATAGGGGTCACCCCATCTCAAAAAAGATATATAGAATTGGAAAAGGTACAGAAAAGGGCAACAAAAATTATTAGGAATATGGAACAGCTTCCATATGAGGAGAGATTAATAAGACTGGGACTTTTCACCTTGGAAAAGAGACGACTAAGGGGGGAATATGATAGAGGTTTATAAAATAATGACTGGTGTGGAGAAAGTAAATAAGGAAGTGTTATTTACTCCTTCTCATAACACAAGAACTAAGCGTCACCAAGTGAAATTATAGGCATCAGGTTTCAAACAAACAAAAGGAAGTATTTCTTCACACAACGGACAGTCAACCTGTGGAACTCTTTGCCAGAGGATGTTGTGAAGGCCAAGATCATAACAGGGTTCAAAAAAGAACTGAACAAGTTCATGGAGGATAGGTCCATCAGTGGCTATTAGCCAGGATAGGCAGGGATGCAAAACCATGCTCTGAAGCATCCCTAGCCTCTGTTTGCCAGAAGCAGGGAATGGGCGACAGACGGGATGGGTCACTTGATGACTGTCTGTTCTGTTCATTCCCTCTGAAGCACCTGGCTCTGGCCATTGTCAGAAGACTGAGCTAGATGGACCATTGGTTTGACCAAGTATGGCCGTTCTTATGCTGTTATGAGGGTAAATTCATTAAAAGATTGGGGATGCCCAGATATTATGTTAATAGGGTCAAATAAGTACCTAAGGGATCAATTTATCTTTCTTAAGGTCCAACGACCCTGCTGAAGGTCTGGTTGGGGCTATAGAAGGGTTGTGCCTCGCTAGCACTGACACAAATTAGTCACATTTACCGCAGGACTGGTTGCAATTTAAGGTGGTGATCTTGGTCTACAAGCCTTACCCTGTTCCAATTTTGGTGAGTTTAGCCACTGCCATTCCCTGTTCCCAATGGGGTGTTAGCACTAAGCGTCCATGGAGTCAGGCGCTGGGGATCTGAAGGCAGAGCACTCACCTCTGGAAATCACTTCCCCTATTAGCCTGAGAAAAACCAAATGTAGTGAGTGACCTTCAGGGCATGGAACAGTTATTTAGTCTGGTAGCACCCTCAGTATGCGGAGTGCTGTCCCCATAGCTAGGGCAGGGCCTATCTAAGATGACAAATGACACCCGAAGGCTGGAGGAGAGGAATGCAATCAAAAATATGTATGAATTTGATATACATTTTAAAATGAAACACCCAGCAACTACACCAACTTCCCCTCCACCCATTCAGCATTAATTGGTCAGTTCCTTGCAGGCATCACAGAAGTATATCTTGAGAATGAACTGGAAGGAGGTGAAGGTAGTGGCCTTCTGAATCAGTTCAGGGAAGGCATTCCATGTGTAGGGGGAAGCATAAAGAAAGCATGACGCGGACGTGCGGGAAGACCCAGTTGGTATCACTGGCATAGCAGAGGGATAGGGGGGTTCAAGAAGAAAGGAGGATAAATCGGATGGCTCAGAGTTGCTGGGGCCTTGAAGGAGAAGATGAGAAGTTTGAACTTAACGGGGCAGACAAGAGAAATCAGTAGAGGGATTCAAAGAAGGGGTAAGACACTCTGCATGATGGACAAGCCAGAATATGAAGTTGGCTGCTGTATTTTGAATAGACGGTAGAGGGCATCAAGGAGGTGGACGGGTGGGGAAGTTACAATAAATCAACACAGGAAACAGCGACAACCTAAATGAGAGTTTCCCTGAGGCTACATCTACACTTGGAGCTAGGGGTGGGATTCCCAGCTCACGTAGACATACTCGCCCTAGCTCTCATCAAGCTAGTGCACTAAGAATAGGAGTGTAGCTGCAATCACACGGGAAGCAGCGGCATGGACTAGCTGCCCCAGGTTGTGCACTCATAGGATCTAGGCAGGTTTGTACTTGGTTGACTAGCCCAGGCCATCACTCACTGCTGTCCATGCTACCATGACTACACTACTATTTTTAGAGCACTAGCTTGAAGAGAGCATGAGTGTATTTACAGGAGCTGAGAATCACCCTCCACCTGCTCCAAGAGTAGACTTGGACGGAGAGAGGACAACTGCATCTTTCGAACAGAAGCTCTTCAGGGCAGATATTGTCTCCATTGTGTTTGTGTGGCATTCAGCAAACGGGGTAGAGATCCCAACTAAAGCCTTTGGACTACCAGACTATGGACATTTACGAACAGTAGTAATGGCTGGAATGAGTGGAGGGTGGGAAATGAGTAGTTGCTACTATGGAAACTCTGAATGAATGTTACATCCAGAGGTTTGACAATGGGATCATTTTTAGGAATAAACTCCCATTTATATCCTCTGTAGGTAGTAAGTAATAAATAAATAAAAGGGTTTATATAGCCTGCAGGCTGCATCCAGAAGATGGCGGTATAACAGGAACACGGCTCAAATTCCCAGGAAAGCGCAGCGGTGCTCTCATGCACGGTAAGAGGACTAATGCAGCACACTGTACAGGCAACCCAGCACTTCTATAGTGCATGCCACCAGAGGATCTCCACGGGTTTTTACAAAGCTCAGGTCCCTCTCCATTCTACAAATGGAGAAACAGACAGGGTAAGTGATTTCCCCACGGTACCACATCAATTCAGTGGCACAGCCAGGAAGGTCTAACACCCAGCCCCGGGTCTAACCACTAGGCCATGCCATGGCACTGTTATGTACACTGGGAGAAAGTAAAACCCTAGTTACAAGCACAAATTTCTCTGCCAATTATTTGCAAATGGCAAGAGTGCAATTTCAGGCAGACATGTGGCTGGGGAGTTTATTTACATTTCAATAATATACATTTTAAAGGGGAAAAAATAGGTATGTATATGTAGGCATCTAAACTGCAAATCAATAACAGCACAAAACAGGGGTGCAAAGAAGAAGGTGCAATGCAGCTGCCTGACCGGAGAGCACAGTTAGTTATTTGTGCCCACATACCAGGAAACTTGGCTTTGTATTTTTATTCAACTTGAAAATCCCCTTTTTAAAAGAGAAAGTCACCCCTGCTGCAAAACCCCTGAGTCGGCACAAACAGATCAGCCCGGCAATCTGTATTCGCAGTGAGGTACAGAAAAGGGATAAAAGTCACTTGCCTTGGAAATGGGTCTGGTGGACAGATTATGTTCCATTTTGTGAAATATGGTGCATTTCTAAGTTTAGAAAATTGCTTTTCCTAAGTGTTTTTAGGAGACAGCACTAAGTTACACCTACGGGTCGGCACAGAGGTATTCCTGCAGTCAGAGGCAGTGAAACCCCTTCCTCCAATACATAATTGCTTTATGAATGAATGACATTGCCCTCTTGCACATGGCCCATTAATACTTTAGCTAGAAAAGCTATCCTCTAGTACAGCTGTCCCCAAAGGGTGGGGAGAGTCCTCCCTTAAGAGGGCACGGAGGAACATTCGGGGTGGGGCAGGCTGCAGGCCAGCCCCCACAGGGGATTGGGGAGGGAGCACGCACCACCCAGCCCCCGACCCCGCTCCCAGCCCGGGGTGGCGTGGACACATTCTATTACTGGTAAGGGGGGGCAGGGAGGATGCGAAAGGAAAAGTTTGGGCACCACTGCTCTAGCTCAAGCTGCCCACCACCCAGAGCTCTAGTCCCAGTTCGTCCAGGGAAGGGGTGGGTTACACAGTATCTGTCGCTGGCGGCACAAATTCATTACAGCTTTCCCCTGGCTGAGGGTATTTCGCTACCCATCAGTCTATGTCACATGCTGCGTAGAGACAGCTCTGCTTTACCTTTCTGGTTCTTCTTTCACTACAGCGAACTGGGCTGACTGACGGTTTGACCTCGTCTGATCCTGCACCTTCTCGCTGCCCTCCAGCTCCTGCTCCAGGGAGGAGCTGGTGCTGCCCTCCCTGCTGACATTGCTGCTCCGCCCAGGGCTGTTCTCTGTGGAGGCCCTCGGTGACTCGGTGTTCTGCTTCAGGGTCTGTAGCTTGGCCAGCGGGATAATGTCACAATTCTGCGGCCGGTGCCATACGGTCCGCTGGGTGGTGGCATTGTAGTAGTAGAACCGTGAGGTGTTCGGGTCAAACAGTTCCCACCACTGGTTCTCGTTGGTGCGCTTTATGCGGACGCCAGCGGGCGGATCCCACACACACTCCCCTGTGATGAGGTTGGCGTACATGCGCTCCCGGGTTCGAGGCTCTATGATTTCCACCCATTCCAGCCTGAGGGAGAACAAAGAGGGACAATTAAAAAGCTGTCGCAGTTGCCCAGAACCAGCTAGGAAGGCAGGGCAAAGGCTGCTTGGGAGGGGATGCAAGTCAGGTTTTTCCAAACCCTGGCTTGCACTATTCCCTATACAAGGCTATGGATTCCAGTGAATCTCCCTTAAATGCATCCCTTCTGAAAGGCCTTTGCCCCATCCCCAGCTCACAGCACAGAGGGGAGTGAGGTAATCTGATGACCATCTAAAAGGCATTTTTTTAAAAATCCAAGCACTAACCAGATGTGCTACATTTTAGCTCTGACACTTTTTTCCTCTAGCGTCCTGAACCACCACCCTACTACCCTCATTAGTTCATTGTCTATTCAGATTCAAAACTCCTCAGGGCAGAGACTGGGCTGAGAAATGCTTAGCATGCTGTTGGCACTCCCAAATAATAAAGAAATACAGAGGAATAAAAAGGTGATGCTAAGAGAGAGCAACAAAGTCCAGCAACAACCACATAGAATGTGGAAATGGAACCACTTTCTAGAAATATAGAACCACTGCAACTAGTGACTGCAGTCCTGAGCACCAGATTTGGCCCCATTTATCTATTTCCAGGGGAATCTTAGAAGCCCTTTCTGCAGGAGTGCTGCAGACTTTCAGACAACACTGAGCGTAACTGGTGTTTGTGAGAAGGAGTTTAGTACTCATGAAAATGGAGAGCTAAACATTGGACAGAGGCTGATATGATGTTGCTAAGAGCTGTAGCAAGCTTCTCTGCATACAACTATGCCAATGAATCTCGATGCTCACCTTCAGCACCTTTTACCTCTCCGTTACTAAGCCCCCCCAAAGTCAGCTGCTGCCCTCACTCCCCGCCTAGAGCATACCCTGCTATTCCAGTCCTGGGCTCCAACAAAGCTCTGCCAGCATCCATGTCTCTATCTCGACTTCCAGCACCCATTGCTATGCGAGTGCTGAGTCTCTGAGTTCTCTCACCTCCCACCTTCTACACAGGAGTTCTCGCAACAAATTTTTGGATGGCCTCAGAGTGCGGCCACCAACTCTTGCTGGTGGCTGCTCTGACAATTTTTCCTAAAATACTTAACCAACCGCAGGAAAAACCAATTACAATGATTTGGAGATGTATATATGTGCATATGTATTTATTTATGTAGGGGGTTTTTTGCAGATTCAATAATAAACATCATGTACAGCTGTTTATTCTTTACTGGACCTCAACAGAATAGAAACACAAATAAGTTGGTTTGCATGTTTTAACTTTTTTAAAAAAAGAAAGACTTTCTAGCTAGTAAGTCTGCTACTGTGAAAAGTGATCTTTGTATATTTGTTAATATCACTTTTCACAGCAGAGGTACTCAGCCCCAGCAAGCTGGGGGACAAATGAAGCCCTGGGTGGGGAGGGAGGGAGGGAGCCAGGGGCGATGGGGGGCTGAGGAGGCAGCAGAGGACGGGACGACGTTCAGGGAGTGAGCCCATGGCTGAATCCTTGGGGCCAGAGCCCGAAGACCTGCATCTCGGGGATGGAGCCCACTACCACACGGCCAGAGCCCGCTGCCCACCACCCAGGGATGAAACCCAAAGCCTGAGTCCCACCAGGAAGGTGAGGAACTCAGACTGGCCACCTGCTCCTACAGTGTTTGTGGCTCCAGAAGGTGGCAGGGCACAGCCGCTGCTGGCGGCACTGGGGGAATGGGCCACTGCTTTGCTGCCCACCCTCCCCCAATCACCACCCAGGAGGCTCTGCCTGCAAGAAAAGCCCCTAGTGGCTGCATGCGGCAACAGTGGCCGCATTTGAGAAACGGATACGCATGGTGATTCCAGCACATGTTGCTGGCCACCTGCCACGTTTCCTGATTCACCACTCTCCTGGCCGTGCCTCAACAGCTAGCATCAGCTACAACGGCCCTTCAGCTCAGCAGCACTGACACAGACCCAGCTGCAAAAGGAAACTGACTATCACTGCACAAATCCTGCTTCGGGTCATTCTGCAGCAGACTCCAGGTGTCAAGAACTGGATGCAGAAAAGGAACTAACCTACCGCAGCAGGGGAATTGTGTATACATGGAAGGGATTAGCATGGTTCCCTCTGCTGTAGCTCTTTAGAGTATGTCTACACTGCAGCTGGGAGCAAACCTCCCTGCCCAGACAGAGACTCATGCTATAGGGCTCAACCTAGCACAGTAAAAATAGAAGTGTGGATGCTGCGGCTGGCTCAAGCCGCTCCAGCTGCAGGGTAGACATACCCACCATGTGTCAAGTACTATCCTGACTGTGCAGAGACAGACCCAAACACAGTAGAAAAGAAAAAAGCTTGAGCAGAAAATGACCTATTTATGCCCCATACCATTTCTCCCTCCCCCTCCCCGCCAAAAAACCCCCAAACATTTGGACACCCAAGTCTCCAGGTGAGCTACCGTTTTTGTACCCTGCTGAGCTACCAAACAGGAAAACAGTTTTGCCTTGCTCACTAAAGAAGCTTCCTTGCTGATGTAGGAGAAAGGAAGGTTTAAAATCATATTCGTGGATAGAGGATCATTCCAGTCAGCAACACTCCAAGGAGCCTCATACATGTCAATCTATCCAGGACAGGACTTTTTCCCAGAGCCCCACAGATTCCATCCAGCCTGTGAAGTGGGATCTAGAGATACTGATTGGACTCTGAAGATCACTTCTGCAGATACATGGGAGCAAATCCGGACCCTCTACAATTTCAACCCCAATCTTGAATTTGCTACCAAATAGCCCAGGAGTGCCTGGACAGCACACACAGATTGCCATGCCAGGGGCACAAGATGGAAAGGGCATGCATCAAAATGCTAGGCACTTCCCAGCAGCCCGGGACCCCTCTACAGAGGAGCTGAAGGAATGTGAACTCCACACATTTTGCAGGGGGCTTGGGGCACAAATATCACACTCTTCTCAGCCTAGAAGAGGAAGCCTGTATTTGGCCAATTAGAAATAGGAGACCACCAGTAAAAATACCTCCAACTGTGACCCAGGACAGGACTGGAATCCCTGTCTCCTGACACGAAAAGCCAGAGCACACCAAGACCACCAGACCCACAGCTACACTGGAGAATCCTAGAATATCAGGGTTGGAAGGGACCTCAGGAGGTCATCTAGTCCAACCCCCTGCTCAAAGCAGGACCAATCCCCAGACAGATTTTTACCCCAGTTCCCTAAATGGCCCCCTCAAGGATTGAACTCACAGCCCTGGGTTTAGCAGGCCAATGCTCAAACCACTGAGCTATCCCTCCCCATGCAATTCACTCCCTGTGAGAAATGGCCCTTAGCTCCCTGTGAGAAATGGAATTTAGCTTCCTCGTGGCATTCTGAGGAGTAGCAGGCTCATAATGCTGGGAAATATCCCCCCTTCTTTACATCATTATTTCCCCTGCCGTTGGAGAAAGGGTTAAGACTTTACAGCTCTCCTGCTTTCTCCTCAGCCTTTTAATTTACCAGGGCTATTAATCAACTTGCACAACTCAATATATTAGCCCTTCATGAAACAACGGATCAATGGCCAAGGTACATTCACCTCAGCCACTTGCTTTAACACAATTGACCATAAGCGGGAGGCGAAGGGGAAAACTATCCATCCAAATAATAAAGATCTGAGAAGAGCAAGCATTACACAATTATGTCCACCAGGCCTAGAGTCAAACAAATCCGAGAGGCCACAGGCCCTGTGGGGCTGCACGGAGCCCCTCTTTTCACAATAATGATCTCAGCCTCCTACAAAGTGTGCACTGGCTTTGGTTTTGAATCTCTGAAGAGTTGAGAGCAGCTAGGAAGGGGGGGGAAAGCTTTTCACCACCACATTTTCTCATTTGTCTTTTTACTAACAGCAGCATGCTGAGCTTAGTACCTTTTATACGGAAATAAAGAGCCACCGTGACCACAAGCACAAGAGCCAGTCACTTTGGACCCAGTTGTAATACCCAACATTCCTACCGCACCATCTGAAAGGGACTGACTGGCACTAACCAGTTCAGCAGTACAGTAACTCCTCACTTAACGTAGTTCTGTTCCTGAAAAATGTGACTTTAAGTGAAACAATGTTAAGCGAATCCAATTTCCCCATAAGAATTAATGTAAATGAGGGGGTTAGGTTCCAGGGAAATTTTTTTCACCAGACAAAAGACCATATTATATATTATACACACACACAGAGTATAAGTTTTAAACAAACAATTTAATACTGGTACACAGTGATGATGATTGTTAAGCTTGGTTGAGGTGGAGGAGTCAGAGGGTGGGATATTTCCAGGGAATGACTTACTGCTAAATGATGAACTAGCAATTGGCTGAGCCCTCAAGGGCTAACTCTCACACTCTACTGTACAAGACAGCAGGAAAGGAGGGAGGGCAGACAGAGACAAAGTGTGTGTGTGTGTGTGTGTGTGTGTGTGTGTGATATGCGCATTTCCCCTTTAAGTATGAAGAGTGGGGTCAGAAGTACACTGCCTTGTTAATTAGATCAGCAAGCTGAGACCAGACCACAGCTGCTGCTGCCTGGAAGCTCCCTCTGTCGTGTGTCCCTCCTGCTCTATGGAAGATGGGGTAAGCGGGATGCAGGAGCAGGGGGGAGGGGACACCCTGACATTAGCCCCTCTCTCCCCTCTTCCCCACCCCCCCCCGCACAACAAGCAGGAGTCTCGGGGAGCAGCTCCAAGGCAGAGGGCAGGAGCAGCACATGGCAGTGGGGGGAGGGACAGCTGCAATTGCTAGCCTGCTGGGCAGCTGCTGCACAGGGAACTTAGGGGAGCGGGGAGCTGATAGAGCGAGCTGATAGCGGGGCTGTTGGTCCACCCTGGTTCCAACCACCCACCAGCTAGCTCCACCGGGCTGCTCTTCCTGCAAGCAGGGGACAAAGCAGGCGGCTGCCAAATGACGTTAGAAGGGAGCATTACACAACTTTAAACGAGCATGTTCCCTAATTGATCAGCAATGTAACAATGAAACATCGTTAACCGGGACGACTTTAAGTGA